GTGTGTGTGTGTGTGTGTGTGTGTGTGTGTGTGTGTGTGTGTGTGTGTGTGTGTGTGTGTGTTGCAGGAGAAGCGGTGACAGATGAAGCCACAGCAGTCACCATCGGCAGCGTTCCTCAGGCTGCGTTCTCTGAACACGTTCAGTATCAGTTCCGTACTGAGAGCAGCGGAGGACAGGTGAGACGGACCTGCTGGTTCTGGGGGGCGTGGCTTTGTTCTGACCCGCAGGAGGAAGGGTAACTTCTCCCTCTGCTCCGCCTGCAGGTGACCTATCGGGTGGTTCAGGTGTCAGATGATCACCTGGAGGCGGCGGATGGAAGCGGCGCCGTCAGCGTGGTCTCCACCGCAGCGTTTGCTGGAGCTCCTCAGGCCGTGGCTCAGGTCAGTAAAGGTCAAAGGGYGGAGCCTGAGAGCTGCTGTGCAGGAAGCCCCGCCCTCATTTCATTATGACCTCTCTTCTGACCTGTTTGGACCTGTTTGGACCTGCAGGCCGTCATCCAGAACCCCTTCAGCAACGGGGGCAGTCCCGGGGCCGAGACCGTTAGCGGAGAGACGCGCTTCGCCTACTTCCCCACCTCTGCTGTCAGCGATGGAGGCGCCGTGTCGGTGCAGACCGCCGACCCCGCCATCACGCAGGCTGGAGGTGAGGAAACCTTTAGCTGCTTGAAGTCTTCAGCTGTGTAAAACCTTCGGCTGAGTGTCTGTTTCTTCACTCTCAGGTCAGTTTTACGTGATGATGCCCCCTGAGGTGCTGCAGACCACCAGCCCCCGCACCATCGCCCCTCGGACACAGAGCTTCACCACGTGAGTCCTCATGTCTGTTAGTAAAATATGTGAARCAGCTGCAGTTCCTCTGCAGGCCTCCAGGTGTCGCTGCTCACATTGTTTATGTTTCCCTGCAGGAAGGCAGAGAGTCCACGAGCCCCCCGAGACGACAAGAGGAGAGCTCAGCACAACGAAGGTTTTTATTTTAACCCAAATAGAAACMTCCTCATGCTTTTATTTCTTTAACTAAAGAAATTTATTTTAATTGTTTAATTAATACATTTATGACAGACTGACTGAAGTCTGGTGTTAATATAATAAAAGGCTTCCTGTCAGAGCACTTCCTGTTTAACAGGAAGTGGTTTTGTTTTCCAGTGGAGAGACGACGACGAGACAAGATCAACAACTGGATCGTGACCCTGTCCAAACTGATCCCAGACTGCAGCATCGACACCAGGACCGGAGCGGTGAGAGACCCTGTGGGGGGTCAGGGCCCGGGTACAGACCGGTCTGTGGGGGGTCAGGGCCCGGGTACAGACCGGTCTGTAGGGGGTCAGGGCCCGGGTACAGACCGGTCTGTAGGGGGCCAGGGCCCGGGTACAGACCGATCTGTGGGGGGTCAGGGCCCGGGTACAGACCGGTCTGTAGGGGGTCAGGGCCCGGGTACAGACCGGTCTGTGGGGGGTCAGGGGTCTGTAGGGGGTCAGGGCCCGGGTACAGACCGGTCTGTGGGGGGTCGGGGCCCGGGTACAGACCGGTCTGTAGGGGGTCAGGGCCCGGGTACAGACCGATCTGTAGGGGGTCAGGGCCCGGGTACAGACCGGTCTGTAGGGGGTCAGGGCCCGGGTACAGAGGCTGGGTGGTTCTGGTCTCCTGACCCGGTTCTGACTGGACTCGTTGTGTCCCTCAGAGTAAAGGAGGCATCCTGTCCAAAGCCTGCGACTACATCAGAGAGCTGCGGCAGAAGAACCAGCAGCTGCAGGACGGGTCCAAAGAGACGGACCGGGTCCAGATGGAGAACGAGCTGCTCAGACAACAGGTACAGCTCACCTGGCTTTTGACTGACAGCTCTCTAAGCTCCGCCCTCCTTCCATCATTTTAACCCTTCATTTACTGAAACGTTCAGCTGTTGCAGCAGACGAGGGGCGGGGCTTCTGCTTTCTGAATTTTTTTATTTCTAGAATTTTTAAAGTTTTATTCTACATTTAGCTATTTTTACTCTACATTTAGCTATTTTTACTCTACATTTAGCTACTTTTACTCTACATTTAGCTACTTTTACTCTACATTTAGCTTCTTTTATTCTACATTTAGCTTCTTTTATTCTACATTTAGCTACTTTTAGCCTACAGTTAGCTACTTTTAGCCTACAGTTAGCTACTTTTATTCTACATTTAGCTACATTTAGCCTAAGGTTAGCTACTTTTATTCTACATTTAGCTACATTTAGCCTACAGTTAGCTACTTTTATGCTACATTTAGCTACATTTAGCCTACGGTAAGCTACTTTTACTCTACATTTAGCTACATTTAGCCTAGTTAGCTACTTTTATCCTACATTTAGCTACATTTAGCCTACAGTTAGCTACTTTTATTCTACATTTAGCTTCATTTAGCCTACGTTAGCTACTTTTATTCTACATTTAGCTACATTCAGCCTACAGTTGGCTACTTTTATTCTACATTTAGCTACATTTAGCCTACAGTTAGCTACTTTTATTCTACATTTAGCTACATTTAGCCTACAGTTAGCTACTTTGATTCTACATTTAGC